AGTTTGCACTCTTTGCTTTTAGTCATTTCCTGTCTCCAGATTATGTTCCAGTTATATTAAACTCTGCCTTTTCCACACATCAATAAGTAGCTTTGACCATGCTGTTCTACCTGCTTGAACCACCTCTTGTGCTAACTCTACCACTCATAATCATGAATGCATGCAATTGGCTGACCGGAAAAAAACCTCAATTCTTTACTTAGTTGGGCATCTGTGCTTATATTTCTGGGTAATCCTGGAGCCAAAGGGTCTGTCTTTCTTATCATCTCTATAGGGCTACTTTCCTTTTATTCACTTATTTTGAACACATAACACATGCCAAGCATTCAGATAGATATTTCCAGATGTATTTTAAATTTATCAACAATAAGAAGTTATAATGTGCTCCAAATAGTAGAAAATAACAGTGGACTCCTAAGTAACATCAAAATGATAGAATATAGAAAATCTGGTTCTTTCCTGAAAAGCTAGAATTACCCCATCCTTGTTTTATTACAAAGATATGGTGTTCCATAACAATTACCAATATTACCTTTTGAGTGAAAATTCTTCATGCATTTGAGATTTCCAGCTTACCCATTAGTCCTGTAGATTTCAAGTGCTAATCTTATTTACCAAGTGTGAAAATATATGTTAATCAACTTTTAAAGTTTTCTTGATAAAATAAGAAAAGTCCCAATTAATAAAGAATGGCAAAATGGTATAAAAAGAAAAATTTTCAGGAAAGCTTTGGCTAGCTGCCAAAGAATTATATTAAAAAACAATAAAAGTAAAGCTTTTCCTTGATCACTCATGTAACTATTAACATATTTTGAAGAATCCAACATTGTGTGGTACATAAAGGCCTAGTGTTAGACAAATTTACCTTTATATATCCTTAGATATATATTTTAATTAATTAATTTATTTTTGATTATACATATTTATGGGGTACAGAGTTAACTATCAGTATTTGTGTACAGTATGTGATGATCAAATCAATATTATCAGCATGCTCATCATTACAAATAGTAATTATTCTTTGTGTCCCTTAGAGAGTAATTGGGTAAGGGACACAAGAATAATCCTTAGGTATTGTTTCAATTAATATATAGTTATGCCCTGCTATCTGCCCGTATAGTTATAAGAAAAAGAATTTGTTGTTAATTGTGCTAAATTTTCATAGTTTTAACCATTTACCTTTTAATTATATGCCTCCAGCTTATTAAACAGAGGTATTGGTGGTATCCATGTGTTAGAGGCACAACTTACTAAAATGTTCTTGGGGATTATAACAAAGCATAATCATTGCTTCAATGATGGTATGAACAGGCAAAGGGGATCAAAGGAAAGGCAGTGAATAGAGTAGGAATGAGGGAAGGCTTCTTGGAAAAGGTAGCATTTGAGATGAGTATCTAAGAAAAAAATTTCCATATAGCCTTACACCACCAAGGTCAATGGTTCGGATCCCAATCCTGGCCAGCTGCCAATAAATAAATAAACAAATAAATAATAGAAAAAAAATTTCTAATGGGCAGGTTCAGAGAAGAGGCTAAGACAATCAGCACAGAAGCATACAGACAACTTTCTGGGAAAGTAGATAGAGCACTATGTTGCATGTGTCCCAGATCACAAGGGGCTTTTTATGCCAGTCTACAGAGATGAAATTTATCCTTTAAGGAGAAGGGATACATGAAGCATTTAAGCATGGAAATGGCAGGTTACTGTGTTTCTATACTTTGTAGTAAACTGTCTTTCTTGTTTTCAATGGGCATCAGGGGGCAAGAGAGTTAGCCACTTTTGTACCCATCATGTTATAAAATGCTAGGATTAAATGGCAAAGCAATGTATCCTAATCAGGAGTAATTCTTCTGTGGGCCCAACAAATAAACCTGCTGCTATCAGAAATTAATTTCTTTGGTTTAAGGAAGTCGTTTGCAAGCTTCATTTTGTTTTGTTTTTGATAGTAGCACACAGTTTATTGTTCACAAAAGCTTGCATAGAGCTCCAATGAATAAAAGTAAATATGAAATAAATATTATGAGCCTCAAAATAGTGTTTCACATCCCTACTGTCTTTAGCAACTACTGACAAAATCCCATGAAACCTTAGGGTTGCAGAGACAGTTTGAAAGCCACTTGGTGAAGGTATTTATTTTCTAGGAAATGAGGAAAGCCGTACTGGTGACATCTGGGAGGACTAACACATTGAGTCATGATTAGCCAATCTAGAGGCTTAGTAGAGCAGATAGGTAGTTTTATTTGCAAAAGTAGATCTATGAAAGAACAAATGTGAAATCATGTTTGGGTGTCATTTTTATGGACAAGAAATTAAAGGGAATTTGCTGTTTTCTAGTATATGTAAATATTAAGTATTTATATTTATTAAATATATATTTGTTTTAGAGTAGGTTTCCCATTTGTACATATTTGAGCTTCATAAATTGATAAATCTAATGCAAACAAATATTATAATTATTCTTTTCCTCTAGTATCATTTAATCCTTATTTTTTGTGTGTGAATCAAAGGGCATTCTAGGCAACTATACTCTAGAACTTGACTTTTGGTGATAAGAAACGGATTAAACATTTAGTGTAAACTGGGAGTTGGCGTCTTCCAGGATCCATGCACCTCTGCATAGGAAAATGCACACACAAGTGTATTCATAATAATATAAAACCGAGAACTCACACATAAGGGAATTAATTTAAATTGTATTATATATTCTATTCCATAAAAGTATTTGCGTTTGTGGGTGTAGAAGCAAAAATGTATGTGGCTAAATTCAAATGCAATGAAAAAGAAAGACTTGCATTGAGAATATTCTTCAGCTTCTCATTTGTTGCATTTTCACCTTTGAACTACTCAGGTCAAGTACATTTTAAATCTCACTCTTAAAATTCAGTGATGTACAATGTCAGAAAAAATGACCAGATAGTTTGGACTCTTAATGAGAAATGAAACTAAAACTCAGTATTACTCATGCTAAGCCAACTTAAATATTTTTGCATATGTTAAAATCTGTGCTAAAATAATTTTAAGAAAGTAAGCATTAAAATTCCCATTCATTGATGCAGAATCATTTTAGAAATACATTTATGTCATTCCATAATAAGAACCATTTTTGAAAATTTAACTAAACATTTTCACAGGACACATTTTTTGACAAATGGTCTGTTACTTTTACAGCAAATCGTTTCATTTCACAGCATATCAACCAAAGAAGATACACTGCCTTAAAATAGGTTAATGTATGTAAGAAAAATAATTGTTTAAATTTTTCCTTTGAAAATAAGAGCAAAAAGTCAACTATTTTAAACCTTTATCTTCATGCTTTAAAAACCATCTTTCTCTCTTTTCTCTCTTCCATCAAAACTAAAAACAAACAACAGCAACAAAGAGATAAACACCCAAACACATATTGCCTGTTATCATAAACCTCAGAATCAAAGATGATTTTATGAGATTAAACATGTATGAGAATAGAGTTCATATTTGCCAACATTTTAAACAAAACCCTATGACTTTTACATGAATATGCTATTATACTAATCAAAAACAGGAGTGGTTAAAAATTATTCCAACATGTTTTCAAAGAAAATCACCTGCCAAGAAAGGTGTCAGCAAGATCTTTACTGAAGGAATTGTAAAAAACCTGTGTCATGACTGAGCATACAGAATTTACTGGCCCTTACACTTGAAGAGACTGAAGTAGAATACCTAATGTCAAAAGCTGCCCCAAAGAGCCAGCCACAGGATATTGTAAAGAGTGTTTATATCTCAGTGTATCAAGAAGGGGGAAAAAAGTAATAATTCTGTAGAACAGCCCCAGGGCACTTGCATTTTGAATCACTGCCACAATAAGCAGATCACCACTGGAAAGACAATATATTCGGTAACAACACAGATTTGCACTATCAGTAGACATCAGTGTAAAACCAGAGAGGCGACAAGATTAAAAATAGAAGTATAAAAAGGGGAGAGAGAGAGTAATTACATCTACTGCTTACAGTTTGCAAAGGCAGGAGACTTTTGCAAATCAAATGTGCATTTATTCAAAGCTCTCTTTAAAAAAATTCTGACTAGACTACCTTTACTATATTAATTCCCTGGGTATTTATATTTATTATTTTTAGAACACTATAACCATACAGCCAAAATAATTAAATGTCAAGCTTTTTATATTTCCATAATTTAAAATATGCAGGGATAGGAGGTTCATTTTCCCTTTTCATATAATGATGATATGACTGAATTACAAGTAAACCTTAGTACTAAAAGATGCAGTATGAAGATATAAATGAGTAGAACCTAATATAGTTTAGACTTACCCATTTTCTAGATTAATGACTGATTTATTCACAGATGATTGAAATACATTTAGTAGGTAACAGCTTTGCAACTCACATTTATATTTATATTATAAATCATTTTGACTTTTTGATTACACAGAAAATCTTCCATCTTAATGAGTTTCTACTTCAGCTTAAATTAAAAAGCATACTAAACATGGTACTTAAGTCCCCTGTATTGATTTCCCGTTTATTGCACAAATAACAAAATTAAATAAAAGGAATTATGTTAAGCTATGTATATGAAATACAAAACATTTTTCTAAGCCCTGAGGACTTAGTTTGCAAAGTTCCATAAAATGTCTTTTAATTTTACTCTTTCTGTGAGGCATAAGGGAAGTAACTTACAACATTTACCATATTATAGCCATAAATAATATCAGGAGACACAACACATCTCATAAACCCTCAAGGATGGTACTGTAGCAGATTTAAAAATCCCTGTGGAAAATTGTGTTCACTATTATTTTGTTTGAATTCACAGAGAATCCTAAAGCCAGCCTATTTACATATTTTAAAACAGATTAAACTGACATGCACATTATCCGTTCCATACATCCTCTTCAATATTTTCACACTGTTTAGTTTCCTTTCTTTATATTCCCCTTTATTAAAAGTTTGACCGTATATTAACTTCCTAAGTAGTGAAGCCATTTAAAGCACACTTACTTGAAAAGTGTAAAACCGGGTCCCATTAGGAGGATGCACTTTAGGGGAGCCAGAAACGGTGTTCATATCCGAGAAAATCATTTCTGATCACAGAGACAATATAATCCACAAGGAGCTACAGATGCAGAGCAGAGAGCTTAGCGTACAGATAAATCCGTGCATGCACTGAGGGAGACTACAGGGTAAAATGAAATCTGCCCCATCCTTCTCAGATACACAGTGATAGCACTTTGAATCTTTCTTCTACATTTGAAATCTAAGCTGAAAGGTCATCAGCCGCCAACATTTTGTGCAGCTCGTTCTTTAGAACATATAATGTTTTTTAAAAAATTAAAAACACAGAAGGAATAAAAAACAAGAACCAACGATAAATGGAGCTGTGCAGAATCTGGCAGTGCTGTGGACCTGCCCATCTGTTCTCAGTGATAATCACCTCCCTCCACCACAGTCTAGCAGAGTGATTATGCTAAATATCCTGGTTAACCAATAATAGAGTTTCATTTCAGGGAAGCCGTGCAGTGTAATTCAGAGGACCTCTTCTGACTAACCTGAAGCATGTTTCACATACTGTTTAAAGCTGCATTTAGTAACATTTTTTAAATCACTCCTTTCTGTATGTTTCTAAATCTCTTTGTCACACCCAGTCTTTTCAATAAGATGCTAATTTTTTTACAGAGCCTTTTTGTAACTAAGTAGTTCAGTTATAATTTATAGATCAAAGTATATTGTAGCTGGCTAATACGAAGGGGCAATGCATACAATTCAGTAAGGCTCTATAATATTAGCAAGTAACAAATAAAATGCACCAAATATTTTCTACTATTCTGAATTCCTAAAGAACTTATGAATATGAATGTAATCATTATTTTCTCATCTTCCCATCTTAGTTCAAAAATCACTGTTTGATCATCAATACCTTAAAAAGCAGCATGCATTTGTTTTAAATAATCACAATCTTATTTCATATACATAAAAACAATTAATAAAATATCTTTATATATGTGAAGATTTCTAACTCAACATCTAAAAATATTGATTGCAAACATCTAGGTTGTGTTGCAAAACATATTCAGTTTTCTATGTCTTTAACAAATGATTTGGTCTGTATAAAAGATCATGTTCAGATGACTTGACAACTTTTAGAGATAAAAATAAATGTTCCATTTACACATGGTTCAAAGGTGGAGACTTCAGGAGGACAAAAAACAGAATGAGCCAAAAGTTGTGTCTTAAATGAATGTATCTATGATGATATAGTTATACATAATCATGAACCAGGAGCCATCTTCTTTGAACCTGGAGGCAATAAGAGTATGATGATCGGTCTTTAATACTTAAGTTACTATTCATTTGTACTTTTGATTCTCCAATTATTCATCTAACATAATGTAGAGCTAGGGCTGGGTCTGGAGCTCACAGACCCCTCAAGCCCATTGTCTAGACTGGGTCACAAACCCTTCACACGTAGGTCTATGAGCTAGGTAACAGGAAAAAGGTCCTTGGAACCATGGTTGAAGAAATAGCAAGCTTTATTCAGCACACACACATCTAAGAGGTAGGCAGTCCAAAGAGAAACTCCGAAACTCAACTGCTACAGGCAAAGTCCAAAGAAAACCTGAGCAGCTGCCAGCAAAGTAAACATGCTCTAATTTTAGATGCAAGCTCTCTACCGTTCAGCCACTGCTTCACAAACTGAAGGACACACAATAGCAAAAAACTAAAAAGATACATTGGTGTGCATGCGCCCTAACTCAACCCACACATACCTTGTTTGCAAAGAATGTGCTGCACCACCCCCGACCAGATCTGAGGTGAGGGGGCCTGACTAAACTATTCCATTTCCCCCACACATAATATCAATGGGGAGGAAGCAGAAAAGTGGTTCTTGATTTCTTAGATATGATTCCTACATTCTAATAAATTATGTGTGTAGGTAATTATTTAACTAACAAACTGCGAAATAAATCAGAAGATAATTTTTTGAATAAAATTCTTATTTGGGGATAAGTTTAGATTTACAGAAAAGTTTCAAAGGTAGTACAAAGAGTTCCCATATATCCTTCACTCAGATTCTCCAATTGTTTACATTTTACATCACCATGATACATTTGTCAAAACTAAGAAATTGATGTTAGTACATTATGCACTGGACTGTAAACTTTACTTGAATTTCATTAGTTTTTCCATAAATGCTCTCTTTATATTCTAGATTCCAATCCAAGGTACCACATTTATTTGATTATCATGTCTCTCCAGTTTCTTCTGATCTGTGACAGTATCTAGTCTTTTCCTTGTTTTTCATGAGCTTTATGGTCTTGAGAAGTACTGGCCAAGTATCCTGTAGGATATAGCCTCTATTTCCATGATATCAATCATGTTTTTCTGATATTCTCCCTCACAATTAAACTGGGGCTATGAGTTTTGGAAGAAAATACCACAGAGATTAAGTGTCCTTGTTATCATATCACATTGGTGGTACATGACATCCACATAATACCACTAATGATGTTAACCTTCATTTGGCTAAGGAAGTTACTATTTATTTTTTGAATATTTTTATTTTTGTTTTTTAAAAATTTATTGAAAGGGGCCAGCCCGGTGGCGCACTCGGTAGAGTGTGGCGCTTGGGAGCATGGCGGCGCTCCCGCTGAGGGTTCGGATCCCATATAGAGACCGGTCCGCTCACTGGTTGAGCGCAGTGCGGGCACGACACTGAGGGTTGCGATCCCGTTGCCGGTCATGAAAAAAGACAAAAAGGAAAAAAAAATTATTGAAACATAATTGTATGTATCTGTGGTGTACAGCATTGGATATCAATACCTGTGTGCAATATGTGATGCTCAAATTGGGATAATTAGTATATTAGACACTATACAATATAAGCATTTTTTGTGGTCCTTTACCAATTTCTTACTAATACCCCCTCCAACATTTCCCACCTATCGTGGTCTCAGTTCTTTATATTTTTAATTTGTTTAATTTTAATTTTAATTTTCTTTTATTGAATCATAATTGATTATACATATATTTGGGGTTCAACATTGTTGATCAAATCAATATTATTAGCATATAATTATTACAAATCATACTTATTCTTTACACCCCTTATCCAATCTCTCCTCATGCTCCTCTCCCTCTCCCCTCCCACCTCTGGTAACCTTAGATTTCTTCTCTCCTTCTGGAAGAATAATGGTTACTCTATTGATTTGTTGCCTAGGTGATCTGTCCAGTGCTGAGAGAGGTGTGTTCAGGTCCCCCACTATTATCTTAGAGTAGATGTTTCTTCTGTCACTCTGAAATGGGCTTTGTGGAGAGAGACATTCTCTTCTTTTTCTTGGTCTCTGCTGGTGACTCTCCTTGTATCAATACACTTGAGTGGCTGGCAGGCCACCTGCATGGTGGTTGTGGCATCTATCCACTTTTGTGGCAGCCATGGCTAATGTGGTGGCTGTGGTGGACTACCCATGTGGAAGTGGTGTTTTTGTATACTCCTTGCCTGGTCGCGGGAGGAGGGGTCATCAGCTTCATCTGTTTGTATGTTCTAAGATATTGATGCAGAGCAATTGGGTGGGAGGGAGAGAAGGGAAGTGGGAAAGAAATAGTGTGGGAGAAAGAGAAAGGAGAGGGGGTGTGGTTGAGGCCTGTGGCTTGGTCATTGCTGTGCTGAATGTAGATGTCAGGGGGGTGTGGATGAAGCCCTTTGTGGTGGCCTTAGTTCTGTTTTTTCTTTTTGAAAGTTCAACAAATCATTGTGATGGTTTATCTTTCTTTTTTAAAATTTGTCTATGTTTTTAGCTTCCATTTATGAGTGAGGATATGCAATATTTCTTTCTGTGCCTGGCTTATTTCACTTAATATAATTTTCTCTAAGTTCATCCCTGTTGCTGCAAATGACAGAATTTCATTCCTTTTATGGCAGAGTAGTATTCCATTGTGTAGATATACCACATTTTCCATATCCAGTTGTTTGTCAGTGGACATTTAGGTTGGTAGCAACTCTTGGCTATTGTAAATAGAGCTATGGTAAACATGGGAGTGCAGGTATCCCTGTGACATGATGATTTCCATTCCTTTTGGTATATGCCCAGAAGAGAGATTGCTGGATTGTATGGCAGTTCTGTCTGTAGTTGTTTGAGGAAATTATGTACAGTTTTACATAATGGTTAGTCTAATTTATAGTCCCACCACCAGTGTAAGAGGGTTCCCCATTCTCCACATCCTCACCATCGTTTGTTATACTCTGTCCTTTTGAAAATAGCCAGTCTAACTGGGGTGAGATTATATCTCAATGTGGTTTTGATTCGCATTTCCCTGATGCTCAGTGATGTTGAGCATTTTTTCATGTTTCTGTTGGCCATATGTATATCTTCCTTTCAGAAATGCTTATTTAGCTCCTTTGCCCATTTTTTAATTGGTTTACTTGCTTTTTTACTGTTAAGTTGTTTGAGTTCCTTGAATATTTTGGATATTAATACATTGGATACATAGTTTGTAAATATTTTTTCCCATTCTGCAGGTTGTCTTTTCACTCTGTTAATTGTTTCCTTTGCTGTGTAGAAGCTTTAAAGTTTAGTATAATCCCATTTATTTATTTTTTCTATCATTGTCTGTGCTTTTGGCGTCTTAGTCATAAATTATTTGCCCAGTTCTACTTTCTGAAGTGTTTACCTGTCGGGCCTTAAAAACTAATGCCACCTTAAGTGACATTACAAGTGGCACCATTATGGGCCCACAAGGGTGTACTAATGTGGCAGCCTAAGATGGCACCAGGAGGAAGTAGGGTGGGGGTGTCTGCGGGAACCTTGCCTTAGCCCTTATTGGCCAAATACGTGCTTCCGCGCTCATGAACACTGCATGGTTGCAATAGGTAGGCATTGAGACAGGATGCATACCCTTGACCTTTAAGCTGATAGGATTATGTAAAAAAACCTCCCTTCCCCATTTGCCTTTAAAAGCAAGTGCTTGTGTGATAATAAACAGAACTGCTCGACAGAACCCACGCCGCATCTGATTGTCCTATAACCCGACTGTTTGGGGCCGGCGGTGTTCTCACCTCTCTTAACGGCTCTCTTCCCCTGTCTCCTTCCAAAGGGGACAGGAGGGAAAGAGGAATCCGGGCCATTCACTCGCCCACCGAAAGGAACGAGGCTAGGGCTTTTCGGGTCCGCCAGACATTTACCTTATGTTTTATTTAGGGAGTTTTATATTTTCAGGTCCTATATTTAAGTCTTTAATCCATTTTAAGTTGATTTTGGTATATGGCAAGAGATGCCAGTCTAGTTTAATTTGTTCTACATATGCATGTCCAGTTGTCCCAACACCATTTATTGAATAGGTAGTCTTTTCCCCAA